TTCTTATGCTCGCGCTTGAATTCATGAATCTTCCCTAGTGCAGCGAGAAAACCCAGGGAGATATTTGAAGAGAAAAAAAAAGACGAGTTCCCGGACGAGAAATTAGCCGTGGTCCAAAGGCGACGAGTTCGCGCGCTCATGAAATTCGAAAATTTCGCCAGGGGTCATTCATATATTCACTACTTTCCTTCGTCACTTTTTGCTTTGTTTGCGTTGTTTACAAGTAAACGTTTGGTTGAATTTGAGTTGTTGTTAGGAGATTTGAGGCCTCTTTAGTGTACGAACTTGTCCGATGGAAGCTAGGAGTTAAAGTTGTCGCTAACAGTTTGCATAATCTGTGACTAATCAGCTTTTTGCATGTGATGCTGAGTTCAGCCTCAGATTCCAGTAATCTTGGGCTTCGAGATCTGCGGTTTTGAATTTCTTTTATTTTGCCATCTTGCTCATTTCAAAATATTTTTTCTTGCAGAAAATGAGTAAAACACATCCTCCAGAGTTGAAGAAGTATATGGACAAGGAGATGGATTTAAAACTCAATGGAAATAGGCGCGTGTCAGGTGTCCTTCGCGGCTTCGATCCATTTATGAACATGGTTATTGAGGTGAGTATAACTTATGAATGTTTGGGCACCATGATCGTATTGTTCTTGCACGGACATCATTGTTGCGAATAGTGGGGAATGATAGACATTTCCTTGTTCTTTTTTAACTTTGGTAGTATGGTCGCTTTAAAAAATAAAAGTTTAGAATCTCTCAAAATCTTGGTTTTTACCAAACCTGGTTCACTTTCAGTGGAAGTCACTGAATTTGCTGGCGCTATTTCACTTTCAGTGGAAGTCATTGAATTTGCTGGCCCTATTTCACTTTCAGTGCTTCTAAATTATAAAGTTATGGATTTTGGTAGAAATGCTGGGTGAAGTTTTGACATGCAGATCTAATGATTCCACTAGAATCGGCGATACTGTAGGGTTATACTGGTGCATGGTAGGGCCGCAATTATAAACTGCCTGAAAATTTTTTAATTGGGATCATATGGAGTACTGATTCGAACATTGTATTCGCCCATTTGTGTATTTCGATGCTAGACGGTAGTGGGCCAGTCGCGGAATGAGAAAAGTGGTTAGTAATGTAATTTAAAATGCTGATTACGAAAATATGGATATTGAAAGTTATTTGGCATAAGTTTTAAAGATCTGGGCTAAACCTGCAGAATCGCCACACCACTCCACGAAAGGGATG